AATCCTCGAGCCACGACTATCTTTGAGGATCAGTTTACCCATCTTTAAAATGATGGGTGTGGAACAGATGTCTGAGTTCTATAAGAAGGAGGGTGAGGAGAAAAGATAACGCAGACGGGTGTGAGAGAAGGTGAAACAAAAAGGAATCAAGCCACAGTGGCCCACGGCATAACAAAACCGGGGTAGGTGAGGTTACAAATACGGGTAAGATTCCCGCCATGGAGGAGGCCCGGGGTGTTAGACCCAAAGGAGGCCTGCGGGCGACAACCGCCTGACCCTCTGTCTCTCACCAGGCTGGGCGCTGCCAGCGCGCACCGGCGGCCGACGGGTAGGAGACACCTGTTTTTTGGTCCCGGTCCCGGGTAAGCACCTCACCCACCCAAATCCTGCTCCACAGGATTCTCCATGAAAGCCCTAGAAGGAAGGGGCGCGGCTTCCTAGTCCGCGCCGCAGAGCGCCACGTCCCTCTTGGCTCACCCTCCTCGAGGCTCCTACGCCTTAGAACTCCACACCGCCCGCCCCCTAGCCCTCCGGCGCGGCCTGGTCTCCGCCCTAGCCAATCGGCGCCTTCCACTCTCCCGGTGGGACCAATCAGCGGCTGCCGGGAACCCGGGCTGTCGCCATGGCAGCAAGGAGGCGGGAGCGCGCCGTGGGTAGAAGTACAGTGCAGAGCCGGCGGCTGGGGGCTTTAGAGGCCAGCCTGTTCCCTGCAAGCTTTCAGCAGGCGGAGCCTCGCGCTTGGAGACCCGGCTTCGTAAAACTGGCGGCCTCGAGGTGGGTGAGGATCGGGAGGCTGGGGCGGGTCCTGAGATAAAGCTCAGTTCTTCGCCTTCCCTGCCCCAGCAGTGAGAATGGTGGGAGCTCCACCATGGACGGGCACCGTGGGGAGTAGGTTCCAGCTCTAGTTGGAGGCGCGGGGTCCCTTTCTCCGTTCCACTCTCTGCAGGGCACCGGTGCTTTCTTTGGGGTCTATCAAGGGGTAGGCTCTTGGCGAAGAGCAGGCGAGGGGCGGTAAGTGCAGGACCGAGTCCTAGGGTGGGCTCCAGCCTGGCCTTGGCAGGGCGATGGGCGAGGGAGGTGCTCACTGGTGAAGAGAGTACACCTACCACTTCGAGGCTGATGCTCACCACATCCCGCGACACCGAGCTAAGCTAGGCCGGTGAATCCTGCTCTTCTCCCGGTTCTGTTAAGCCGGCAGCCGCTGACACCAGGAGAGGAGAAAGTTCGTGCCAGTTGTGGTATTGTGTTCTCTAAGTGACAAATCTTTAGATGTGAGATGGTGGTATGGAGTTTGAGAAAGACGGTACTGTCTTGTTGCACCTGCTAAATGGTAACTGAGTGACTAAGTATGCCTATTGTTGTGGTTGATTCTGGGCAGTGGTTTTGGATGACAATTATTTTTATAAAGTCAAGCAAGAGAGGAAATATGAACTTGAACCATTGAACCATTCTCGTTTCTTGGAGGCAGAAACCTCTTGAAAGTCTCAAAGTGTCTACTAAACTGCTAAACTGGATACTGTCCATTTACACAATTGAATAAGAATGGTGCCATCTAAGCCTTTTATTAAAGCTATTAAATCCATGGGTGAATATGAACACCAAACTATGTATTACTTTGGTTAGAAAAGGGGGGAGGAGGGAGAAGAGAGATTAAATGCAATTATATCTGATTGTCAATTTTGTTTGAAGGAAATTGTGGACTTTCCTTATAAGAACTGAATTGATGAGATGGTTGCATTAAGGAATGGATGAAAAGTAATGTGATTAGTGGTATAATAGATTTGGATCGGGTAGCTTATAGTGGGTTTTTTTTTTTTTTTTGCAGCCTACTTAAATTACTTGTTTCTTAAGATCCTCCCTCATAAATTTGATTGAATAGTGTGAGACAGTCTCCAGATTCTTATATCTTGTTCCTCATAGATAGTGCCTTGGATTCATTCAGATTTAAGCCAAGTTGTATTTCTTGTTTTATAAAATTTGAAAACTAAGTTCAACAAATGTTGAACAAACAGATATTTGAACAATTCTTCCTCAGTTAGTAGAGTCCCAAGTTTAAGAAAAACATAGAAATTTACAATTAGAAATGAAATATCAAATAATATCCCTCTTGTTACTAGGGTGAACATAGGAACTTCTGTTTCTCATCTTGGTCTTGAAACTCCCCATGATCTGCGCCAGCTTTCCAAGATGAGTGAGAAATTCGTTTGTGTCCTTATACTTGTCCATGTTGTTCTCCATCTATTCTAGTTTTATCTGCTTTGCAAGGGTGGAGTCCATGTTGTGTTTACATATCTCTGATTTCCTGAGGTATTTATTGTTTATACCACACATTTTGTATATACCCTTTCAGTATGCTTTTTGCTAAGTTGATTTATGCTCTGTAAATGCCAGTTAAAATGACTTGCACAATTAAGGTGATAAAAGTACTCTTCAAAACAGTGGCTATTGATTATGGGCACTAATATCCATGCTCGATACCAGTGTCATTTTATTTTGGGGCATATTATATACCTCCTAGATATATCAAACTAATTTTTGTGTTATTTAGAATACGCACGTTCTAAGTGTTTTCCCTTTCTAAGGACCGTTTGGGTGACTGAAGTGTGTAAAATACCCTTTTAAGTATTGGGTAGCTGGAGGAATCAAGTGTAAGATTTAAAAATGTATAAAAAATAATTCTTAAATAAATAATCCTCTACGTATTGTGAGTAGTTGAGTTGACTATATTTGCATGATAGATGGTTAACTTTTTAAAAATAATTGAAGGTCTAAAATGGGAAAACTGTTATTCTTATGCTTAATACGTGCAGTTAGTTTATAGACTTTAAAAAACAGGTTTCTAACAATTTCAAATAATTTATTCAAGGAAAAGCCTTGATAACTTTAATGACTAATCTAAATTTTCTAAAACCTCCACAATCTGGTAAAAACTATATTTCATTAGAATTAATTCTAAAGGCCAGATTCCAATCCTGGCTCTGCCATGTGATCTTGGCCAAGTCAGTTAACTTCCCTGTGCCTTAAACCTTTTATAAAAGTAGGATCTGAACTGAACCACTTCTAAGATCATTTCTGATTCCAGCATGCTCTGATTTTAAAAATCTAAAGCAACCTAATGAAAAATTAAATAGCAGCTGCATTTCTTTTATTTTTTGGCAGAACTTTTTGACATACTGTATTTTAGTTATCTGAAGTACAGTTCAGTCACTCAGTCATGTCTGACTCTGCCACCCCGTGGACTGTAGCACGCCAGCCCTCTGTCCATCACCAGCTCCTGGAGTTTACTCAAACTCATGTCCATTGAGTCAGTGATGCCATCCAACCATCTCATCCTCTGTCGTCCCCTTTTCCTCCCACCTTCAATCTTTCCCAGCATCAGGGTCTTTTCAAATGAGTCAGCTCTTCGCATGAGGTGGCCAAAGTATTGGAGTTTCAGCTTCAGCATCAGTCAGTGATGCTGTGGTCAATGATCACTCAGGACTGATCTCCTTTAGGATGGACTGGTTGCATCTCCTTGCATCTCCTTGCAGTCCAAGGGACTCTCAAGAGTCCTCCAACACCACAGTTGAAAAGCATTAATTCTTTGGTGCTTAGCTTTCTTCACAGTCCAACTCTCACATCCATACACGACTATTGTAAAAACCATAGCCTTGACGAGACAGACCTTTGTTGGCAAAGTAATGTCTCTGCTTTTTAATATGCTGTTTAGGTTGGTCATAACTTTTCTTCCATGGAGTAAGCGTCTTAATTTCATAGCTGCAGTCACCATCTGCAGTGATTTTGGAGCCCCCCCAAATAAAGTCTCTCACTGTTTCCACTGTTTCTCCATCTATTTGCCATGAAGTGATGGGACTGGATGCCATGATCTTTGTTTTCTGAATGTTGAGCTTTAAGCCAACTTTTTCACTCTCCTCTTTCACTTTCAAGAGGCTCTGAAGTACAGTATGTGTAAATAATGAAGACATTGTAATTTTAATAAATTAAAAATTTTGCTGTCGCTTTTATGTTTATTGAATATACATGTGAGCAACAGTATTTGCTTTTCAGAAACTCATTATCAAGCATGCTGTAGGGACTGGGGAGAGAAAATTAGGAGTTTGAGATCAATATACATACATTATCAATTATAAAACAGATAAGCAGCAGGGACCTGCTATATATCACAGGGAAATATATTCAATATCTTAATAACCTATAATGTAAAATAATCTGAAAAGAATATATATATATCTGAATCACTTTGTTGTGTACCTGAAAGTAACACAACATTGTAAATTAGTTATACTTCAGTTTTTAAAAAGAGTTGATTTGAAAAAAATTAATACTATAGCCATCTGTTAAGATTGAGAAAAAAGGCAAAGTACTGGTTTTCTTGATTGGTGTCCTTTTCTACAGATACGAGCATCAAAGACACAAGGATCTATACTGATATCTTGATACAGGGAAGGGTTAGAATACAGCTCAGCTGGTCATACATCTGATATTTTATTTTGAATCTCACTTTCCTATTGACTCTCAGTTTCAAATGGAAAAACGGAGTTGAGCAGTGGGTTGCCTTTTGCCCTTTTCACTGCTGCCATGGAGAAATTTAGAAGCTATCTATTTTTCTCCACCCCACTCCTTTTCTCTGTCAGAATTCTGACACTGACAGTAGGATGAAACAACCCAAGTTTCCTGACTTGAAGGAAGAAACCTGGGTCTCTTTCAGAAGCTTTATTTTAATGTCGGGGAGGAAGAGATTGTATTCTTCTTTTGTGGGTTGTATTTTTTTCATTGACCTGCACCAATACTTTGGCTGTGGCAATGCTCTAGGGAGAGCTCTAATGTGGCCTTTCAAAAAAAAAAAAATGACATTTTAAGGTTGTATGTCAAACTGGCTTATTGCTTTTTAAGTTCAATGACTTTGGGTGCTTACAACACAGAATTTTATTATTTAAATATATAGATATTAAATTTTCAAGATAGGAAGGACATTACTGTTTATGAAGCATTTACTGTTGCCATGTACTGTGCTAGTTCCATTGTATTCATTCTTATTTTCATCCAGTCAAAAACTTATGAAGAAGTATTAGTTTGATTTATGGATAGGAAAATCGAGACTCAGAGAGTCAAGTAGCTTGGCAGTAAATGGGAGTGGTTAGGATTCAATCTGCAGTTTATTTTTGACCATGCTAATAAAAGTCATGTGCCTTTCCAACATAACTTGCATATGATCACTCTCCTGCTTAGATAATTTTTTGTTAACTATAGTATCATGAAAAGAAATAAATATGTGTTCTTAAAATTTGAAGATATTTTATTTCTTTATTTTCTTTATATACTGCCTCGAAATAATTGATTATATTCACTGGTGAGTTTGCAATATAACTGCCTTATGTTTTACAGTTGGGTGGTGGGTTTCAAAAAAGAACTTGAGATGTTGTGCTTTATTACTGATCTCTGTGTTTTAGGCGTGAGTCAAGCTTAATTTTTAAAAGTGGTAATAAGAGTAAAAAAGGATTCTAGGTAAAGATTTTAAGAAAAAATCCAGTTAAGGATTGAATGAGGAAACTTAGACTGTATATTGAAGTCTCACTGAAGAGGAAAAATAAGCTTTTAGTTTGAACTTTTCTTAACTATTTCAAAGAAGAGCAGTATGGTAAAACCTTGGCATATAAATAAATATCTTTGCTTATTTTGGTCTTTGATTCTATTTAGATAATATATTTCTTTTCCTTCCCCACTGGGATATGATATAGACTCCTTCCACTGTATAGAAATTTTGGCACCTTTTATTTTCACAGAATTTGACAAATATATACACTATAATGTGCCACTACCACTAATAAGCCTAAACTTATGTTTATGTTTATTTTTATTTATTTTTTAATATTTAGAACCTGTGAAGAGTCAGTTCTTAGTGATAAAGCATTGAGACAGGAGCCAGACCCACCTCTTCACTAATTTGATATTGTGCAAGTCACCTTACCTCTCTGGATCTCAGTTGCCTCATCTGTAAAAAGAAGATAGAAATTCTTAACCTGTTTGAAGGTAAGTGATCAGTTAAGAGGGCTTCCCAGGTGGCTCAGTGGTAAAGAACCCTCCTGCCAAGGCAGAAGATGTAAGAGACATGGGTTTGATCTCTGGGTCGGGAAGATCCCCTGGAGGAGGGCATGGCAACCCACTCCAGTATTCTTGCCTGGAAAATCCCATGGACAGAGGAGCCTGCTAGGCTACAGTCCATAGGGTTGCAAAGAGTCAGACACAACTGAAGCAACTTAGCACACTTGCACGATCAGTTCAGAAAGCAAAAATGAAAACAGACTTAGTGGTGGCTTAAACATAAAATATTTATTTCCTCATGTAAAGTAATTCTTAAAGTAGGCAATCTAGGATAGTAGCTTCATAAAGTTGCCAGGGACCTAAACTCTTTTCAGTTATTTCATCTGTTATCCCTAAAATGTGGCCCTGGTCCTCATAGTCCAAAATAGCTGCCAGAGCTGTATCCATCAAAGCAAAGTTCCAGGTAGCAAGGCAAAGACAAAGAAGGATGCAACCTCTCCGTTTAAGGAGATTATTCTGAACCAAAGGAATTATCCTTTGGTTATATAATAACCAAAAGATTATCCTGAACCAGGGAAGCAGGGAAATTTAACTGAATGCATGGTTGCCTTGAATAAAATTGGGCTTTTGTTATTGCAGAGGAAGGGAAGATTTGGGTATTGACTGGCAAATAGAAGTGTTTGCACAATATGAATCTTTTTCTCTTTCATCCCTGAGATCTGTGTGCTATGATGAGCACTCAAAGAAGCTTCAGTAATTTGTCATGTCAGAGTTTTAAGTCTGGCCATTATCTCCAGAAGGAAATAACTTTCATCTAACAAATTGTTTTTCTTTTTTTATGTTTATCCCAGGATTCATTGTAGAAGGTTTCTGTCTTAATTGGGTATTTGTTCTGGTTATTTAAAAAAAAATTACCCATAAATATTCAATAGTATATGTTTGTTATATAGCTAACATTTATTGAGCCACTTGCTTTATGCAAAGTACTAAAAAGACAGAGATAAGTGATCCAAAGAGTATCACATAATAAATCATCAGGAAGTAAATTTATGTTGAAAATTGTTATCCACTTTAAGATACTTTTAAGTTCAATGTTGTCATGCAAGGAACATTGTTGCCTTTGTTGGTTAAAAGATGTTGTTGTGGTTTTTTTTTTTTTTTTAACCACTCAACTGTTAACTGTCTTGAAATTTCCTTTTACTTAACTACTCTCCCTTGCCTAACTTACTTAGGTATACCAATATTTTATTTCCTTCTAGAAGTTTATGGATAAATACTATGTAAATATACCCTATACTTGTCACATGAAGTGATTCAATTGCCATTTTATCTGTAAAGAAAGTGAATTGAAATAAAATTTTGAGAAAAGAAAACTGAAATTTAGGGAATGGAAATTGGATGAGGGAAGAACTTAAAGATTCAGTTCATCATTTAGGGATATTAGAAAGAATATAAGGAGCATTTAGCACTGTAAGTCATCTGAGAATATCTTATTTGCTGAATACAATTTTAATGCCTTAAGTTTTTTTCAATTAATAGAATAATGTTATATGTTGTTCTGTAAGCAGCTTTTTTCAAATTGCAATTGTTTACTTAATAGGCTGCCTTCCACATTGGATTGAAAACCCTGTGAAGATAGAGACTGTCTATCTCACTTACCTTTGTATCCAGCATGATATCTGGAATATAGTGGGTACTTAGTAAGTGTTTGTTAAATTAATAAATAACAGATAACAGAGTAAAGAAAACATACTTCAATTCAGTCTTAAATTTAAAAGCAATAGGAGTAAAAGAAGAAGGTTAGAGGGAGAAAACAGTAGATGAGGAAGGAAGAGAGATTGTTGAAAGGAAAGCGAGACAAACTAGTTTCAGTTTTCTGTATTCTTCACCCTTCTTACCCACGACCATTCTTGTTAACCACTTCCAGGATATTTGTCCCTATAAGCAAAACAGGAAACACACACATATAGACACACACACACACACCCCTACCCACTCACACCCACACCCACCCATCCACACGCACCCCGGGTAGACTTAATTCAGATAATTACTGGTAAGAATCAGTAGTTGAGAAATGTGCCTCTGTGTATGAATGGGAATTTTGTTTTGGTGGAGACAGGGAAGGAGAGAGAAGCTTATTTTTAGGAATTGGAAATTGAGGGAAATTATTTTGTATCTATTGAATGTTAGGAGAGGCTTAAGAACTCTGTTTATTTTGTGCTTTTGCTTAAGGCACCAATGCCTTTGGGATCAGTGCATTCCATGCTGTCTTGAGATCACTGCCTGATTTAGAATTTCACATTATCCTACTTGAGAGTGATAATTCAGCCTATCCTGGTTTGGATCAGTTTACTGTGTCAACCTCTTTTGCCCAGTACTTTCTCTTTAGGTCTCTGTTCTTATGGACAAAGAGGTTGATAAAAGAAAGGAGAAGACCATTCTTACTGATCTGATAGTGGAAGAAAAGGATCAATAAATTAGTTTCCCTTTTTCTGCATTGCCTCTCTTTATCACTTATCTCTCCTTTTGTATGGCCATTCGTATATTACTGGATTCATGAAAATCTGGAAACTTGTCTCTGACACATTTGACATTATCTTGGCATTTAAAGAGATTTTTACAACATTACTTTTATACATAATGAGCTAGAAAAATGTACATTTCTTTTGTTATGATAACAGTTAACTTTTATTGAGGCCTTATTAAGGAGTAAATGTTTTAATTAGCTTTAGGCTGCAGTAAGTTAATTGTCCTAATTATTTATAAAAATAAACACTAAGAGATTCAAAATTAATAGAAGGGAAAAGTATATTTAAAAAATTCTTCAAAAAAAAAAAATTCTTCATCAATCAAAAACAAAATTTAGACACAGGCAAGAAAGGAGAGGAGATAAATAGTAAAGAGGCAGGGTACATAGAAAGCCCCTAAAAAGGTGATGTTTCATTGACTCTAAGACTCCATTCATGGGGTCGCAGAGAGTCGGACACGACTGAGCGACTGAACCGAACTAAAGACTCCATTTGTTACAGGAAGGAGGACCTCTTCCGGGGCCCAAAAGTGGGCTCTTATCTAGCACTCAGCAATGAATTGCCCGAGGAGACACACGAGCTGACAAAGCAAGAGGTTTTATTGGAAAGGGAGCCCAAGGGGAGAGCAGTAGGGTAAGGGAACCCAGGAGAAGTGCTCTGCCACGTGGCTCTCAGTTTTGGGTTTTATGGTGATGGGGTCAGTTTCCAGGTTTTCTTTGGCCAGTCATTCTGACTCAGAGCCCTTGGTGACACGCGCATTGCTAAGCCAAGATGGATGCCAGCAAGAAGGATTCTGGGAGGTGGTCGGACACGTGTTTCTCCTTTTGACCTTTCCTGAACTCTTCTGATTGGTGGTGGCTTATTAGTTCTGTGTTTCTTACTAGGACCTCCTGTCCTGAAACAGCTCATGCAAATGGTTACTATAGTGCCTGTCCAGGGTGGGTGGTTTCAGTCACTGTGCTTCCCCTAACACACTGATATTAAGACACACCATTTTATACCATATAGAATACATATTGCCCATAAAACTGAGTTCTTTATCACTTAGAATATCATTCTGTGTTTACTGAAAGTGCTTTTTAAGATATATTTAAACATACAGGTTTTTCTTACATCACATTTGCTAAGAAATTTAAAGAAGCTAAATAAATCAGTTAAGGTTATTCTAAGACTCTTTCACATTCATAACCTAAGTCTTCTGAAATGCTTCCTTGATTCAGAATTGTGAATGTTTGTGTTTTCCCACATGACATTTTCCTCTCTACTGTGGAGAATGATGGTGATTTAATTCTGGGAGTTTCTTTAAAACAATATGCCTGGAATTTTCTTCCAAGCCTCTGACCTTCATTTTGCAAGCTTTGATCCCAGTGCATTCCTGAAGATGATCATCATCTTACAAGCTTTGATGCTGATGCTTTTCAAAAGATGATGATGGGAAGTTGTCAGATTCATCTTCTTTCCTCAGTCCCTCCATCGGTGGTTTATTTACCACTGAGGGGTTACAGTTTGTCTAGACATGGCATCAGAAGTAACATCCAGTTGGGATGCCTTTCAGGTAACCTATTCTTCAAATATTCAGGTATGCAACCTCAGAATGCATCAAGAACTAAACTCACACACTTGGAAGGCTACTAAAGGCTCTTGGACATTCAAGCCAGCTTTAGTTAACCTTCCTTTAACTTAGCCATAATCCCTCTTTTACATGTAACAGTAACATTTTTTGGAAATTCTTTTGTAGTTAAAATTTTTTTTAACTGTATTTACTTTGTGCTATTGCCTTTTATTTATAGTGAATATTGGTTTTTCCATTTACAGAATCAACATAAAGATTTTTCCTTAAATAAAAGTATTGAAACAAAAATTGAACTGATTTAAAGAAACAAATACTAAGTAAACAATAATGATACACACAGATCATTAAAATATACAAACATATACATGTGTGTGAGATATATATATATATATATATACACCTCACACGATGATCAAGACCTGAGAAATGTACCCTCTAGTAGAATTTTGCAAAGTGGAAAAATCAGTCGCAGAGAGATTTCCTAGTTTGCCTCAGGACACACAGCACAGCTGCAGGCACTGAGTTTGGGACTGGTGCTCTCCTCAGGACTGAGATGACTCACGATCCAGAACACACAGCTTTAAGACAGGAGGCCTGTTTCTCTACAGGCGGGTAATTTATTCTGTGGTAAGTATCCGAGATTCAGACGTCCTCAGGAAAGGGGGAGTTTATTTTGGACATAAAAGCAACAGGAATCCTGAGTGAAGGCAGCAGTCCCCTGTGGAGCAGGCGCATCCGTACTAGGAGCCCAGACACCCTCTGCTAGCTCCCTTCTAGCTTTTCGGTTCCTCCTGTCCCTGTTCACGTGGCACCTGCTCCCAGAGGCTCCCCTCCTGCTCTGTATTCAAAAGCCGACTGAGAGAAACCTGATTGGCCAGTTAAGG